CGACTGGAATTCTTCAGAGAGCAATCGTATAAATTCACAATTGATATCAACTTCTATTGTATGTCCCCTACGCCGCTACGCGTAATATTCGATTAGCAGTTAGCGCACGGAAACAAGTAACGCGATGCCATACCGTACCTGTTGTAGCCTCGGTATCTAATCGACTCACTTTAGGCTTCATGAGATTTCAGACAATCTGGAGGCGTTCTTCTGGGGCCTTCTATATCACGTCGTCAAATGCAGGCCAACGAAGAAGACAGATCTCTGCAGCGATTCATTTGGTAATTAATAAATGCACTGAGGTGGATCGTTGGCCTCCTTCAGAAGCGGTATTCTTGACTCTTTCTTGAGAAACCCGAACACTTGTGCAACCCCTGTTTGGGAAAATAATCGGCGGCATATTGGCAGCGTGCGTTTGACACCTGTCCAGATCTCGAGTCGGAGAGCAAAGGTTATGGGAAAGGAGGACCCTCGGGTACAAGCCGCTGCCAGTGAGGGCCCGGGGAAGCTTCGTTCCTTCGAAAAGGTACCAGCTATCATGAACAGGAACCTGGCCTCATGGCGAGACATACACGATGGCGGTAGCTTGTATAAGGCCCAGCTTCGTCCAGGTTCCCTAGCGAGCTGGAAGCGCAAGGCAGCCAATAGCGGTGGTGGGACCCGGAAGATGAAGTGTGGGTCCGATTCGGTCCGAGCGCAGCTCTGTTAGCAGTCACGGGACCAATACGTCATGGCTGCGGTGGCTCTTAGGCTGCCTGCGGCCATTACCCGCCTCACCTCGCCTTTTAATGAGTAAATCTGCGGACCTCATCCAAAGCAACTCACAAATATTTCGCGTATATTCTCGCCGTTTGTCCAACCCAGGAGACGCAGACATCTTTATTGCGTCTGCGGGAAAGTTAACGGCATTCTTGTCTAACACGAGGGCGTATTATACGGAGGCACAGCAGCCAGTACGTCCTCGATTCTCTTACGCTGTTTCTTCTAGATTCCAAGCCTCCTCTCTTACTCGTGGTTACCGTTGTCAATCTCTGTGCTCATATCGATCTTCGATCTAGATAATTGACCTTCTTGAGGTGACGTGTTCTTCGTATCTTAGATCGCGTTAACTCAATCCAAGGACTCCTGTACCCCCAGGTTGCATGCAACTCACTGAAGAATGTCGCGCCCGATGTATTCAGCACGCCTGGTTCCATAGACCGATCCGTTATCCCAGACGGCAGAGTTCCCCTCTTTGACGCCTTTGTCAAACTCGCCAACAGTGTAACACCATACATACATCTCTTCACAGACGAATCCCTGAACAGTAGGCAACATTTCCTGATGCAAGTATTGTCTAATCTGCTCAACCTCGAGCCTCAAAGACAGACTTCGGTCGTTTCTGTCGTCAATTGGCGTTGCACTACCATCAGCGGCCATCAATGTGACCTCTCCTGATACTTCAATCCAGACATCCACCCTCTCGTCGATTGGACATCAGGCCGATTCTACTACACCTCAAGCGACATCATCGATAGGAGCCGCACCATCCGACTCTCAGGTCCTGGTGTCACGCTTATCTCCGTCCACTAAGGAAACCGCGAGAAGTAAAACCGTCATACCCGAGCCGACATCTGCCCCATTAGTACCCGTGTCGTCAGCAAGTGTGGCAGAGTCTTCCTCTGTATCTACCCCGGTTCAGGTTCCAACCGTAGTTCTCTCCAAGGTGAATACCAGCGATGGAGGGGACGTGGTCCGATCGATTCCAAACCAGCAGACCGTACCTTTGCCACCTCGTGACCCTCTTCACCAGCCTCCACTTCCCCAAGCACCAGTTTCTCGGGAAGTAGTTGACCCCGTTCCCGAGAAGCCCAATCCCCATGACCAAATATCTCGTCCCCCTCTTCCCTCTTTGCTGCCGATGTCGTCCATACCACTATCTCTTCATACCAAGCTCCTGTCGCCCATCTCTGTTTCCGGAACTATATCTCCATCCCAGAAATCACAGCCAGCACCCTCAGTAACCCACGTTGTCATGCCCCAATGCACTTCTAACGTTATGTCACAAGACCGGGTCCCTCAGACTGTACTGGAGTCCTCTGTATCCTCCCCACAGGTCTCACAGAGTGTTCCACTATCTCAGGTTCAAGTGCCAATGCAGACCCCAGCTACACCTCTTGGTGATTCTTCGGAGCAGCAGAAACCCATGCCGACGTCAAGGCGACAGTCATTAGGACTAGACTTTCTACAGCTAGATTTGCAAGCCGCGCGTGAGAAGAAGCAGAGAGCCGCTGCACAGGCCGCAGAAGCACAGAGATCTGCGTCACCTGCTCAGGTATCTGCGGCACATGTATCATCGCCTGTTCCTTCGATATCTAAAAAGGTCTCTCCGTCACCTGCGACCGCAACGCCAACGTCTACTACACCAGTTGATATGCCAAACACACCGTCGGCGCAAACGTTTCCCCACGCCGTCCCTGCCGTCGCGCAAGCACCTCCTGCTCACGTCCTCACTCACTCACTCATAGAACCAGTACATCCCCCAGCCAACGTATCCAGTGAGTCGAAAGTCCTATCAGCCACCTCCCAGCCCCCAAACGCTCAAACACCATCCCCAAGTCTGGTTCACCGTGATTTAAGGCAAGGGTCTACTCGAAATGGTTCCTCCGTCGTCAGCCCTCGCAAGCTATGGATCACCAACCGTGCGCCGGCGCCTGCTCCTGAACCAGGCTCGGAGAGTGCACCGATCGTGATTGACGAGGACGAGGGCGAGGAGCCCGCTCCTACTGATCAGCGAACGGAAGCTCAGGCGCCCACGCCAACTCTTCTGAAAACGGAAGAGTTGTCAACTCCGGCGCCTGACTCTCAGGATGTGCGAGGGAGCAAGGTAGAAGATAGCAAGCCTGAGCCTGAGCCGGAAGGACAAGCAATACGTGAGCAGGTGCCCCAGGAAAACGTTTCTGTCCCCGAGTTTCCATCCCGTCTTCCCGTCTCGGGACCTGAGCTCTCGACAACAAGTACCTTGAGAGTAAATGTACCTGCGCAGAAGTTTTCTGCACTCTCTACTCCTAGCCTGCTTTCGTCAGTTTCTACCCCCGCCGTTCCATCCCCTCGACCGTTGGCCCCGGCCGCTCCTTCATGTGACAAATTGCAGGGAGCTCTGCCCCAGCAAGCAACGGACGGTAAGGAGATTCAAAATGGAAACGGTGACAAGGGTTCGATGGACACGGACACGGGTACTACTTCGGTTGTTGCGGAGCAAGGAAAGACAGCGGAGGATCTGGTGGAAGGTCAGGTCCGCTCGAGCGTTGACATTGTGTCTGCTGCCACAGTCGAGCCACCTTTGGGTAGCGAGTCTTCCGCCCCAAGAATGGGATCTACCCAACCTCCTGCACTCGTTATGGCTTCGTCCAAAAGCAAAGACACGAAGATGACAGCCCCAGCACCTCCGGTGGTAGCATCTGTAACTTCGGTGACCAGGTCTTCGCCCGCACTGGTCGCTACCCCAGCTACATCGCCTGCGATTCCTGCTGGCGCCGAGTCAACTAAGTCAGGACCAATGCCTAGCGTGGATGTGCAGGTCCATGCTTTACACCAAGCTGTCGGTGAACTCAGCCCGCCCTCGAGTCTAACGGAGCTGGGTCCAACCCCAATCTCGAGAGAACACATCCCCGTTGTTTCGGTGGCCGAAACCTCACCAACTTCTGGGAAGCATCAGAGGTCACCCACTCCTAATGGCCAAACGAGAAGAGTAATGGTTAGGGAAGAGTCTCCGGGCCCTATCTCAGAGGGGCAACGAGACCTCCCTCTGCACTCGGACACTGTCAAATCAACTAGCTTTGACACCATTATTCTCGACACCCGACCGGGGGAGAATGAGGGCCGCCCAGAGACGGCACTTGGAACTTCCTTCTCACCGAAGCCATCGGTCAGTCATGGACTTGCAACTCCCAGCGGTAATGCAAGTGGATCGACGCTGCCCGTCCCCACCATGGTGTCGCATAAAAGAATTGGATCGTTTAGCGACATGGATATCTCACGCTCTTCTATGTCACCCCCTCCTATCGCGGTTCTAGGGACTCGCACCAGAGGTTCGAGCGTGACTAATCACTCTTCAGGCTCTCGCTCCACCTCACCTCCTTCGGGAAGAAGGCCTTCGGAGGGCGGAACTGAGGTTGCAGATGACGAGATGGTGGACGAGCTTGCGCCGCTGTTTGGGAAAGAGATGAGAGTGCTCTGTATGGACAGAGCCTACGATGTCCCCGGAGAGTTCACATGGGACTTCACGCTCCCCGACGCCGACTGGGACAGAGTTTCGCAATGGACCAAGGCGCCAGAGAACCCCGGGTGCGTCTATGCGTTACTTTCCTTACATGTGCCAATCCTCAGTGTTCGCCAATCCAGCTTGGACATCTCGCAGGCGAGATGCATAACACTTGCTTGTTATTCTACCCAGGACCTGGAACCATACGCGAGTCAAGCGGTCATGACTCGGGAGCAATGGTTCGAAAACACCAAGCCTGTTCCATGGGCGAAGCTGCCGCGCAGTTTGTGGGCATTAATCAACGATGAAGTCGCTGTCGTCTTCCCTCCCTACATGGTACTTCCCTTCTCCGTCATCCCGTAACTCATCCATCGCTGACTGTTTCCAACCAAGTCTCCTGACGACCTTTTTGACGTCTCTCCTTTTTTGAGACCAGGGCTAAATAAGATATCCTTCACGCAAATTGATGGGATGGCTGAGTATGTCCTCGTACTTCACGGCCACTATCCTACGCGTGGCCAACTCGAGCCCTTACATGAGCGTTGGGAACAGGAGAAGTACTTTCAAGAACAGCTAGCTTGGTTATCTCGCCCGTTTTCCATCGAATGGTAGAGTCTGGGTTGATAACTGCATAGCTCGATATACCATCATACCTACATATTCATATTACAATTTGGAGTGCGGTCAGTCAATTTGGGCCATCATCTATGACAGACTTGCCTCCCCTATCTATTAATTTCAGAAATAATGATATGAAGGTTCAGTGGTCTAATGGTTATGATTTCTGTCTCACACACATGAAGGGTCACAGAAGGTTCCCGGTTCGATCCCGGGCTGAACCACTTTTTGCAGGACATTGTAGTATAACTGCTTCCCTCCCGCCACATTCATTCGTTTGTGTTACAACACCCGAGGCCCTTCCCATGCCAGCGACAGCTCCTGAAATAAGCTGTATCGACTGCTGCCTTTTGCGGTTTCCACTAGTGCTGACCCCAAATACACTGTCAGCGCTACCTCATCAATCTTCGCACTAGCACACCATCCTCCAGCTTGATACAGACATAGGCCCAAGGCTGCATGTCCCATCTAAGCAGTCTCGCTCCCTATGCAAATCACAGGAAAAAGCGCAGCGGCCCACTACCGAGCATCATGATCCAGACTGGCACGGTGCCACTACATCTCACACATTGAATATTGAATATTGAATTGCCGGTTGGCCACCATGGTGCCCCACGGTGTGACCACGTCAACGCGCAGGGAGCAGATGTCATACACCCACGACCAAGACAACCCACTTTCCAGCTCTGCGTAGGATACCAGAGGCCACCCATGTATTTCTGTCGCAGAGCAGATCAAAGAGTTGCAGGCCGGCAGCATCTTCCCTAGCATCTTGAAGAGCCTCCCTTATATTAATACTTGTGCAGATGGTGGTTGCTGGGAGAGTGACCACGGAGTGAAGTTCTCGCATGTGGGTAGACAAGTTCCGCACTCCGGCTGCAGGAGGACGCACAGTCGATGCCTAGTCTGACGAGATGCAGACATAGCTGCTTGCACTGTTTAGCAATACATGTACGATCCTATCAGCTACGGCGCGAAGGTTCATGGCCACAGACCTGACGACAAGGCGGCATTTCGTACGGACGCCGAGGCGGCTGTGGACGCGTCACAGCAACCTACGGCCGGGCAGAAATCGACACGCACAGCGAACCCAACGAAAAGTTCGACGTCGCCGATGCGAAGAAAGGGATTTCAAGGGCTCATTCCTTCAAGGTCAAGGTCAAGGTCAATGAGCACTCGAAGTACATCATGAACTTCTCTGCGAGGCGACCTTCCGGAGGAGTGGCGGGACCAGTTCGTTTACCGATTGATTGACGTTGACTCGAAAGCAGTAGATGCAACGTCAATCATGCTCCCAGATCACCGTTGAGTGCCTAAGTCACGAATGACTACTGGCAGGCTATCCAATGGCCGCTCGATTACATGGGGTGCGTCGCTCCTAGATCCGGCCCGGCGATAAGGAGAAAATCCGAGTCTGACGACACGACAAAGAGTCGGAGACCTTGCTTTACAGCAAGGTACAGTCATCCATGGCTCTATGGAACGTCGGGGTCGATGGACCAAACGACTCCGACGGCCCGCATTTTTGGTCAAATCGCTTCGGACTTTTTGTAATATCCAATGTATAGCTCCCATGTACATCTCTTTAAAATTTTATAGAGATACAATGGGTAGATGTTGCGGGAGACTCGTTTCTTTTTATTTTTGGAAAAAAACTGAAATTTGATGAGCAAATACTGATAAGAAAGGCTCTGATTTTTACCAGCTTTTCGTGGCCACATACAAATTACATGCTATATAGTGAACCTCAGATACTCATTTCAAAGGTAGCAATGCGGGATTGCAAGATATTCACAAAAGAATGCCGAATGGGTTGATATCAGTGCTCCGTAGAGTCACATGATGACGAGGGCCGTCTGTCACATTTCTTCATCCTCACGATGGGAGATCGTGATCGGGGCCTCTCCCAATTAGGAAACTCACGCTGATTGTGACTGGTCCATTGACCTCGTTTTGACTGATAACGACTTTTTTCACTGATTCCTTCATCGCGTAACGTCAAAGGGTTCTTCACATTGGAAACACGAGGTTAACCAGTGTCAAGCGCATAGGCCCCGGCCCTGGCCCAACTTGTGTCTAGTGACAACTACTCAGACCCTGCACACTTCCGCTTATCTTTTCCCTACGATCTCCTCGTTACATACCGCTCGACATGGACAGAGCTATTGAATACCGCAGCAAATGCAAGCATTTTCGCACTCTCATCATTGGGAGGGCGAATGCGGGAAAGACGACTCTCCTGAAGAAAGTTCAATCGAGGATCCTGAGATTTTCAGCCCATCTGGAGAAAAGGTAATAGAATCCGTCGCCCTCGAACACAGGCAGTCTGCTCATTTGAATCAATCGCGATCAATTGCAGCTCGATCGCGCCGTCGTGCAGGAGTCATCAGAGGTTTGATTGGCTATCCCACCCCAATTCATCCTCACTTAGCGTTGCACAGCGTGGAATTCATGATATCAAAAACGAGCTCATATTCAGGAGAAATCTTTCATCGCCGAACGTGCCCAAAGCCGGGAGTTGCCTGGCCATCACCAATTCCCGGAATTTCTGAGCCGGTCTGGCCGAGTCTGAGGCTGGTCTGAGAGTCTGAGCTCCGTCTGACTTGCCTAATGTGTCTGTTTTCAAATTTGAAACGTGTTTTCACAGCACATGTAGTCAAAAGCCTTCTTAACATTGTTCTATGCTACTACTAGCTAGTGACTCATACTGCACGGGGCCCCAGGGGGTGTCGTACCGCGGCATAACCAACGCACCAAATAGCATGCAACTGCTCAGTGAGTAGCTGTATGCTATTTGGTGCGGTGATTACGACTCAACGCACGAAGAGAAACTTACCGGATCGATGATAGGTACTGTCTCCCTACAGATACCAATAGGCCGCTACTGGAGGCTGACAGGGGTTTCTTTGACAAATATGGAATCGGGAAAGGTCGGTGACTATTTTCCCATTGTACGATAAGCACGCTAAAGGCAGATGATATTATATTAAAGTGCCCGTTGTTGCTGTATTCACGCAATTTGACGATCTCTTCACCACGGCATATGGCGAGCTTCGAGATAAAGAGAAGTTTTGTATGAAAGAAGCGAAGAATAAGAAATTTGAAAGAGCACAAGAAAAGTTGAAGACCAACTTCATAGAGCCACTTGAGGCAACCTCATCCCGACCGTCAGCTTACGTGCGATTAGATGGTAAGCCAGCTAGTACAGATATAATGCGGGTACATATTCTTTAATTTTTTGTCGTGATGTATTCAGACATGCGAATGGAGGGTAGTAGCTGCAACGAGCTGCAAAAGTTACTCCGCTGTCTATGACACGCGTCAGTTTTGCTTAACCGCCAAGGATTTAATAGATGTAGAGCGAGTCAGGGTAAGCAGACTTCGGCTGTATATGCTCGGCGCTGACCAGACGTCGTCAGAGCGAGGCCGACAAGAAAGACACAAGTAAGGCGGAGGAAGGGCAGGCAATTAAGGCATCTGGTACTATGACGGGAGTTGGTACTGATGGACCCTGGGATGAGCAACAAGTGTGGGTTTAATTCCCTGCTCTTGAGCACGGCTAATGAACTCATTCATGTTACGCGTGTTACTTCTGTGGCGGGGAGATCGATGGATACCGACTTGGGCCAGAACTGACTTAAATATTCATACGTGCCTCGACTGGAACCCTGTCTCTGATTGGTTTCGCCACTTCTTGTCCCTATCCCGCTGAAAAAACCGTGCGGGTACAGGATAGGTAGTCCGTTCATCGCCACCTGGCCGCGTCCTCACGTGTACAGGATCGGGGCCCGATGGCTCATCAGGTTGGGGTGGTGACGTGGATACAAATGTGCAATGGTGCAGTGTTGTAAAGACCAAATTAGGAGACACGCGTATAATCAGGCCGATACAGCGGTCGTAAAGACACACTGGTTGAACTGAAAACCTCGATGAGCATACGCGGGCCCCGGGACGAAGCGCGGTTCGAGAAGTGAGGCATCATACAGATAAAACGACGGCCAGCTCGGCTGAATTTTGTTCTTCTACTCAATCGTTTCTCTTAGGCGTACCGGGGCGCAATGACGTTTTGCCGGGATGTTGGCTCACGTATGGTGTGATAGGAAATCGTCGTCGGTTTCCGGACACCAAATGGACAACTCGTGACCGTCCAACCCTCCAAGTCACTGGAGATTCCACGAATGGTGTGCGGCAAACCGGATGCCTGAGATCCTCAAATCTGCTTCGCGTGGGGTGAAGCATTCTTGACGTGGAGAAAACGTAATGTGGCGTTGGGCAATGTTGTCCCAGAAAGCGAATGGCGTGTTAAGTTCACGCCACGTGTTGGCGTTGACCTGCCCTAGGAGGATGAGCGGCGGGAAGTGGAAGCTGGCGAAGACCGTGTGGGTTTCTTGCCAGGCTGGTACTGGAAGGGGATTCAGGACGTCTCGGGCGAGCATGGCAGCACAAGCAGCACCAAGCCAGAGCCAACGCGGTCTTCAGCAGCAACTGCATCGAATGCAAGTGCTCTTCCAACGGAATGGCGTATCGTTGGCCCTTGTATTCATGGAAATTTTTCTCCCAAGGCGTATCACTTGTACAAAGGCATGTCTGGATAGTCCTTAAACGGACCGTGATCACATACCGCTTTCAATTTCAGTTTTACTGGAAACAATGAGAAGCCCTGCATTATGTGTCGCGCGGGGGTGACGGACGACAGATGATGAATCACCATTCTCGTGAAGCTCACTGGTATATAGATTAGTGGGGAGAACGGCTCCTCTGAGCCGTCGTCATTCGTCTTGACCAGCTAGTTGCGACACCACACGCTCGAACTGAACCTTGACAAAGTGACAAGCTGCGCACTCCGCCTCGGCTCCACGCCAACTTTCAAAGCAAGGTTGGCTAACTCTCATCCTCCAGGTTCGGGAAGCCAATACCGTGACTGTGTACCCTTAAGCATGAGTTGAGCCTCGGGCGTGTCCTGCCTTCCGGTGTGGAGGTTACGTTAAGACGGTACAAGGTCGTTCTGAGTCGTGATTCAAGTCAATTCAGACAGGAAATCGGGATGCCGTGGGATGCTATTGTTCTTGTGTCAACCCTTTCGACTTACGAGATGCTGGTGTGGCGTCAGTGGCTACTGTCAAATGGTCAATGACTTACAGTATCGGCGTGAAGACGAATTAAACGCATGTCATGCAGTAACGTCTACTATAAAACCAACTTTGTCCCCTGCACGGAGCTCTCT